TTATTTACATAAGAAAAATATATTACTAATTCATACTTAAATTTTCATAAAAATAGATTATATCTAATAAAAAACAGAACAAATAAGTTCTATAATCAAATATTAAATTAATTGAATATCCGACTAAAATGCAACGTTATTCTTACTTGTAACAATTGTAAATTGCGGGTAATTTTTTTAAAGCATTATGGGAGTTTCACCTAAAAATGATGGGATATCCGAGATTAAAAGGTGCATCTGATATTCATGACTAAAGGTTAAAGGTGTAACCAGTAATGAAAAATAACTTCGCCCTTACTTGTTATTTATGATTCAAGAAATTTTATAAACGTGTAATAAGTAAAAAAAATCGTTTTTTTTATGCGATTCTTAAAAAATAAGTATCTATACAGAAGTACACATGCAAATAAGTTCGTAGAATATAAAATGAGAAAGACTATGTTATAAATAAATTAAGGAAAAGTTTTTACAGCTAGTAATATTATGTCATATATGAAACATTTTAAATTCAAAAAAAAATAAATAAATTCAAAAAACCTTCTTCTTCTTCAAAAAAAAACATAAAAACCAAGTTACAATTTTTTTAAAGTATTTAAGATTTTTTTTATTTTTGTATCAATTTTTTACTCTTTCAAATAAATAACAAATAAGCTATTCAATATAAAAAAACAAATTCCTCCTCGAAATTAGTACTGTCTTAAGTAAAATTATGTTTCAACTTTTAAAAAATAGTTAACTTACATGCTTGGCGATGAAGTTGAATAAAATAAGCTCGAACTTACTGTTTTCATAACTTTATAAAATATACCAGACATGTATAACAAAAGTAAAAAAATTATATTATTTTATAACGAAAATTTATATGCAAAATCAGTCATTCATGTGAATCGAATTAAAAGTCGATTGGTTAAAAAAATCTTGCAATGGATTTGATTCACTCAAATTAACGTTCTGGATTAAAGTCGTTAAGACAATAATTATGTTTTATTTAACTTTGTATTTTAATAACAGGAAATATTTTATTGTAGTATTATAAACAAAAAAACACTTTTGAAGTTTGTAGAGAAAATGTTTTTTTTCTCGAGATAATTGAGAAATAAAGTTTTATGTATTAACAATGCTTAATTCTCTAAAAAAAAAACATTGTAATTAATTTTCAGAGCAAAAGTTATTTCAAATTACATTTTCTATGTAAACAACGAATAATTGTTAGTAAAGATGAATCAAAAACACTAACTATACTAAAAATTACCTATTTTCAGTTATTCAGAGTTCGTGATGAACAAGACAATATTTCAAAAATTCGAATTACACAAATATTTTCTGTAAATTAAAAAAAAACGTATACAAAATAATAAAAGTTACAATTTGTGAGAAAAAACAGATCAAAGAAAAATGTCTTCCATAAAGAATATAAAGTGACAAGGCGACAAGAAGACTTGAGCCTAAATTTAAAAATAAAACTGCTAACTATTTTGGTAGTTTGACATAAAGAAAATAACTATAAGGTATTCTGACTTTAATATAAATGTTCCTATATTTCTTATAAAGTTGTAAATTATTCTTTCTTCTTAAAAGTTTACATGTATTTATCATCTAAACTAAAATAATTTATTTTAAAGCAGCAACTAAAAAACAAATGTTCTACATTAAACTAGAAATATGTCTTTGAAGAATCAATTGTTTTACATGTAGCAACTTTTTTGACATTGATTGTTGAAATCAATATCATTTTAACATCTTTGGTCGGTTAACGAATAACTAAAATTATTTAAAAATAATACAGAACACTTAAAATAAAAATGATACATAATAACAAAATTAATGGAATAAAAATAATTTAATTAAAAAAAAAATGAGGACAATAAGTAATGTAAATTTGTCAGGAAAGTAAGAATAATTTAAGTCATATTTTCTGTAAAATGTATTATAATTTTTCAATTTTACAACGATTATTCGATGAATCATAATACTAAAATTTATTCATCGGTACTTTTAAATGACCTTCTCATTGTAACATCCAACACACATTACCACTAAGTATAGCGTTAGACCGCAGTAACAGTGTATATACACGGTTTCTAAGTTAAGGGTACTACAGTAAGGACAAAGGCCAATATAAATGTTTGACTTAATTATAAATTACTATTACCCTGTATACTTTAAGTATGATTAATAGTTAATACATGTTTACAATACAAAATACTTAAAAGTACCTTGTTATTATGAGGTTCATATAATATTTCTTTAGTAATTTTAGGTTTTCGAACAGTAATATAGTTGTCTTAATTTTATATTAATACAGTATAACAAGTTTTCAACTAATAATCCTCGTAAAGATTGAAAAATTCTTATTTAATTTTCAATTTGAAAATTCCTTTAAAGTAATTGTACATGCATTGTTTTTTTGATAAATGCTCAATTTTTTAATTGGAATATACATTTAATATGATAGTAACACATATAAAGACCATATGAGACATATTCATTTAAAATAAAATTTTCTAATTATTCTAAGAGAGAAAATGAATTTACTCCATTTGAAAATAATTATTAGCCAAAAACCTGTTTTTAATAGAATCATTTTCTGAAAATTGACAACTTAATTTTGTTAGATTTGTAGTCAAATGTGTAACTTATTTAAAAAGTAAAAGAATAATCAAAAATCCTTAGATAAACATTACATTATAAACAAAGAGTCAAAGCCTAATTGGAGATTTTCCAAAAATAATAACAATAAACAATATATAAACACAAAGGACATTAAATGAATCTTTAAATCACTAATTAGTTTTAAGCCAATATGCTATAACAACAATTCTGACACAGTCATTTGTAGTTATTAAAGAAAAAGTCAAAAATTATTAAATAAAAACAATTAATTTAACAAAAAAAATTAAACATAATTAATTATATTTTTGGTTCACTTAATACGAATAATTTCAATATATATCAACACTTAATTAATTTAATATTAATGTAAAAACTAATTTTTAACAAAATTGATTTCTGTAATTTTATGTAAATAAATTCATTACATTTGTTTATGGCTTTTTAAAAAGTGATAATAAATTATTTTATGTTATGTATTAAAAAAATTATTTTTCATATCAACAATTAAACTCATTTAAAAAACTTTAATGTCTAATCTAAAAATAGGCAATAACAAGAAAATTTATCAATGCTTGCAAAAAAATGAAATCATGTATTGTCATAAATAGACTAATATACCGTATCAACTACTAGCAAAAAATATTAAGATAAAGCATAAAAAATTAATTTTCAAAATGGATATAAAATAAAAATAAAGATACTCGGTAAAATATTATCTAAAAAACATTTGGATGTAAAGAAAAAACTAAATTTTTTACTTTAATCTGAATAATTTAGTAAAAAAAACTAAAATACATTTTATTAATTTAACCACTATCATTAATTAAACTAAACTTTATGTTAAATATTTAACTTAAACAAGTTATGACTAAAAAGTTTCTCTCCCAATGATTTGTTTAAAAATGAAATTACATTTATTTTCATGAAGTATTTTCAATGTTTTCATTTTATCCGAACAAAAACATAACCTATAATACGCCTTTTTCGATCTCATTAAAAATAAAATCATTTTATGAATACTTCCATTTTTTAAATCCATTTAAATATAAAATATTCGTAACTTTTAATGAAAACTCAAAAACAATAAAAAATTAAAAATTTTTTTTTTTTGAGAAAACTAAACTAAATATTTAAGAAGTTTTTACTTTATCTTAAACAGAACAATATAAAAAGTAGTGACATACCTAGTGGAACAAAATTAACTGATAACTCTTGAACTAATTACACTGATGAAGAAGAAATTTTCATCACAAACGTAATCTTTACCAATTTTTCGCGCTGGTTTTAAATATGCAATTATATTTTTTCTATCAGTTTTAGTTTTTAAGATGATAATTAGTAAGAAACGAGTAATTTCACACAAAAAGAAAAAAATATTACTGGTTTTAATTTTTTATATGTATACAATAATCTATATAAAATTAAAATCCAAAAAATCATGTTCAATAAATTTTTCAGTATTTTAAAGTTGATTTTTAACTTTTTAAAAAAAAGTTGAAATTTTTTTCCATAACTTTTTTTTTATTATCTTGCAAAAAATTAACATCACAAAATAGAAAATTTTATGAATATTTAAGAAATAATTGGGTATTGTTTAGATTGATATGATGAGAAACTTATATAAATACATTAACAGACATTTTACGAGATAAGTTTAAAATTTTGTTAGAATTACTAGTATTTTTTCATTAATATAATTAATCATTTTAATAAAAATGTAAGCAATTAATTCTAAGCACTGAGATTCATAAAGTAAGTCTAAGTGTTTAAAAATATGGCACAGTTGACATTTTCAGATCTTAATTAGTTTTTAATTGTTTAAAAATAATAAAAAACATAGATTAAAATATAATTTAACAACTTATCAGAGGAAAACGTGAAAACAAAATACTAATAAAAAAGTATATTTATAAAAAATTTCAGACCAGTATTTCGGTAGTTATTGGCATTTTTTAACTAGTCGAGAGGAGTAGTGTAGTTCGTTTAAATCTAAAGATAAAAGTAAATAGACTAGCGCTCTGCGTTTAGTCATTATATTAGAGTTAATAACTTCCAAAATATTGGTCTAAAAGTTGTTATCGACCATTTGTTTTCTTAATTAGATTATTATCTATTAAATAAGTTAATTAATTATGATTGTTGTTTGTGTACATATGTTTGAAAAAAATAAAATTGACGCCTTTATAAGGTCTACGGATGAATATAAAAAATACATTAAGATTAATAAATTAAAAAATCATGTACTTAAAGAAACCAAAAAAAAAAGATTCTCAATATTTTTTTAATTAGTTCATAAAAATGAATCACTCTATATATTATTTTTAAAAATCTGAATAAATAATCGTAACTCAAAAACTAAATCAAAATACTTGACTAAATTTAATCACTAACTCATATCAGAAGTATTCAAGATTACTATTTAATTAGTAGATTAATTTTACATTTACGTGGCAAAGAAGACAACAACAATAAGCTACACAATTTACGATTCTTGTCCTTTGCAAAAAAAGGGAGAGGCCGCTTTACACTAAATAACTATTGATCCATAAAAAAAACTTAGGAAACGGCATTGTAAAATAAACACAAATGCTTTGTGCAGCGAAAGGCCTTATGATGTGACTTAAAACAGAATAAATTACACAAATAACATAATTGAAATTGCCATTTTTAATTAATTAAAATTAAATTTAGTATTTAATGTAAAAAATATTTTAATTCAATGAAAAAGATGTATTTTTCATAAAAAAATTAATACGACTTACATAAATTACTGCGAAAGAGAATTTTTTTTTTTCTATAATTATTTTTTTCTTATATAAGTTTGTCGAACAGAAAGGTTACTTACTTTGAATCCTTTATACCATTCTTTAATGGTTGCTTCGTCGTACCTGGTGTGCGACTTGAGGAAATCCATATCCTCTTTAGATAGTTTATCTTTGCTACCAAAACAGCCCATATTTCTATAAATGAAATATACATCTTTTTAAAAAGTAATTTATTTACAAATATATTTTTATGTATTTTATATAAGGTTAAATTTTTTTAACATAAAGTCTTCAAATTTAGAAATAGTTTTCAGTTCACAAAAAACGCTATGATGAGTATAAAAGCATGTTATTATCACCCTCAATTCATCACCGACAGTGGTAAATAGTGACGATCACGTGCTGCGTGTCAACTTAACATATTTAAATTGAAAACTTCCTGTAGAGTAGAAAAACTTCACGAGTTTTTGATTATCTATGACATTATAACTGTCAAAATTTCAATTTAAAAAAGGGAAAATTATTTTTTGAAAACATTGTTAAAACGAAATTTTAATTCATGAATGAGACAGAAAGTGATGGCAAGACTTGGGTATATTTAAGTGACATTTTAATATATTGTAATGTTCTGCACATTTATTCATATTTATTGATTGTAGGTATTCGTTCGTTATTATAGAAATAAATAATGAATGATATTCTAAACAGTAAGACACTAAGCATACTCACTATAAAATTAAATAAAATGAAATAAATTTAATCATTTTGGGAAAGCTAAAAAATATATATATATTTTTATGACTTTTTTATTTTATATAATTATTACTTAATTACTAATTAGTAATTATTACAAATAAATATGTGATAGAAAAAACTAAAGCCAGATTCGGAATTGGCGTCGAATTTCCATATGAAAATACATATAAAAATTGTAAACAAGAAAATGGTTGCCCTGTACTATTAATAATATATGACAAATTTTATTAAGTAGAATCTTTAATATTATTAATGAATTATGTAAGTACTTATGATACAAATGTGTTTTTTTTTGTGAAATCAAACTAATAAATTGGAAATTATTTTGACAGCCCCCTAAAATTGTTTATCATAAAAACTTAATAAATCTGGAAAGATGTAAACTGTAAACTCAGTTTCTATAAGTTTTATTTGAATAAATTATTAGGATCACGTTTATGACATTTGATACTCAGTTACTTTGAGCAAAAACAGCTTTCAATCATTTAACTAAACGTTTTTAACTAAAAGACGATAAAAATGTATGAATTGAAAATAGAAGCCAAATTTAACGACAAAATATTTTTGATAAATGAGTACAGAGTAATTACTAAATTAAAACTGAAAATTAAATTGCCATGGTTCTGAATACATTTTCTGTGACAATAAATAATTATACAATACATCTAAACACAAATTTATTTAATGTTATCAGAGTAATTAAGAACATTTATCACACTACAATGTATTACAATATTCTTGTCAAAAGTGTTAATTTATAGATTATATTTCACAAACAGAAATAACACTTTCTATAATTAATAAAAAGTTCAATTTAAAATCTAATAATTTAAATTAAAGAAATTATTATTATTATACATTTTGGCTTTTGGGTGGAGTAGTTATAATTAAAAAGCTAAACCTCTTAGTGAAAAATTGTCAGTATTCTGATAAGAATATTTATTTTAACAAATCACTAAGATCAATTAATAGACTTATAAGTAGGATTATTAAAAAAACAAAGCAATAATTTGGATACTAACTAAAGAATATATCCAATTTTGTTTCAAAGGTAACATTAATTTGTACTACTAATTTAAATTTTTTTATTTAAAAAATAAGATATGAAAACATATTATTTATCGTAATACAAATGATTGATCACTCGTAGTTAATATTTAAATTGATTTTTAAATTTATAATTTTAATTTAGATTAAAATTTAATTTGTCTATGTAATGTAAACCACGACACAACGCAAACTTAATATTATTTGAAATGTCAATTACTGAATTTAACTGTCATTTTCCCAGTTTTTAAATTGCACTTAAAATGTAGCTTTATACAAACGTACAAATATAAATCGTTGTTGCCATTTATCTGTCAGGCAATCCGGAACAAGAGTGCAATTATTTATTGCTAATCTAATGTGGTAGTATACAACAATTATATTTTGAATATATGTGCCCGTACTTAGAATACGAATGTTAAACTAATGAACCTGCACTGAGCACAATAAAATTAACATAACATTTGTTTTGGCTAAAGGGAGAACTCCTATGAAAATTTAATTTTATACTACCTGTAGCGACCATGGAACGATCGAGAATCTTCGCGATAGATAGGCAACACAAAATGCATATACGCGCGTATTTTCTCGGTCGCCCCATAAAAGAATATTCTAGAACACTACACACTATAAAACGGCGAGTCAATCAACCAATCAGTCATAAGTTAGTTCGCCACAAGCAGACAGTACACGTAGTGCATGCATATATTGTAAATATTCTAAAAGTGTTTAAATAATAAACAGTCTATCATTTTTCTCTTTTTTACGTAAATCGGTGTTTTTTATTTATTGTTTAATCAATACGCGAAACACCAAACTACCAATTAAACTTAGTAAAAACATATTGCTTATGTATAGTTAATATTTCTAGGTAGTTATTATGCCAATAAATGATATCTTTTATACAGAAATCTATGATAATTATTAGTATAATAAAATATAATTTATCTTTTATTTTACTTTTGAGATACGAATGATAAATTAACCAGGTCAAGTGGTAGGTTCATAACATTAGCATATAGAACAATAATCATTATATGAGTGCCATTAATTGAGATGAACCTACTTATTATCCACTGAATATAATATTTAAATAATCAAGATATTTAATTTCATTAATAGAAGAAATAATTCAATAATAAATTTTACTTAAAAAGTTTAAATACATAATAAAATATCATGTCATGATTAACGCTCAAATAAATTAATAATTAAAATAATGAATACTATCTAGATGAATTATAAGTCTTCAAGAATTTACGAAAAACTAGTATCATTTAGTTAATCCCCATTATACTATTTCCATACAAAACTGAATATTTCAATCTAATAGAGAATCAACTCTGATTTCTAATCACTTTTTAATATTACTCTTGTAAACCACTAATTGAAATTTTTCCTACGGATATCCAATGCCAACGTTCACTTATTAATAAAAAATTACAATACACGAAGCAGTCCATAAAGACAATTGAACAACAATCGACCACACAAGGGAGTATTAAAACAATAATGTAATCATGAAATATTGAAAAAAGAATTTTACAAGGCCATCGCGTGGGCGACGTTATTTCGGCAAAGGTAACTAACGTTCATTCTATTTATGTTTTTATAAAATTTTTTCTGAAACATTAACACGAATGAAATTCAAAAGTTTACTCTTTAAATTAATATTATTTCGACGAGTAACTTTATTCGAGTTCAAAAGACTACTTCGCTAATGGATATTTAACTTGTAGTCATTAAATGCTACAAGTTTATTGTAGTTTAGACAACATAAGATATAATAAGCGATTAATGATGATAAAACAGTGGCATGTCTACATAAAGAGCTACCCTAGGAAACTGCAGCAGAACACTATAATAAGGANTAGGAAACTGCAGCAGAACACTATAATAAGGACGTCACAATTTGGGGGCATATCGACCAGAGATGCGTTCCAAAAACATTTTATCAAAGTTCAAATAATACCAAGTAAATATAATTGGAACATTAATTATTATTGAACACATAACAATCACTGATATCAGATGGCTTGTAAATATAATTTTGTAATGACCATATATGTTATATATATAAATTTATACATAATACACTAGTTTTAAAGAAAAACTGTTTAAATTTATTTTTTAATGTATTAATGTTTCTGTATTTATCTTTTTCTAATTACTGGAATATATGAGAATTTCATTCGTGTAATTTCACTAAACTATAAATAATTTTAGTTTCACAGGTCTTTATCATTTCCGAAAAAATAATAAAAATAAATTAAATTTCTTTATGCCTTAAAAATTATTTTTATACATTTTTTTTACTTTGAGGGGAGTGTTTTTCATGTTTTCATGTTGTGATGGCAAATATGGCGCCAAATAAATATAGCTCCTGGGCATTAAAACCTAAAATACACTACTCCATATAAATTTATATCTTTATAATATTATGTATTAATAGATATTTTAGATTAATATTTAGGAAAATTAGAACATATAAAGCGATGTAATCAATAGATAATCGTGTCTGCATGTTAAATGTTTAACGATGTGTCTTATACGTCACTGCTTGGCAACCAATCAAAATGCTAAGCTTGTATTGGTATTTTATACGAGTGAAAATACTAACGATGTTATAAAATGAGAGTGATATAAGTGTTAACATTCAATAGAATGCCAACAATAAGCCGTATTGACTAAGAGTAAGAAGTTTTTAGAACATTACAAGGTTTTAATACTGAAAGTACATTGCGTAGTAATTGTATCCTGCTAATTATTATCGGGTAGTTATCTAAATTATCAACATATTCTACTATTTCTTTCTAGGAATTTGTTGGCGCTGTGGAAAGATGAAAGAAATTTCCTAGTTCCCAATTGTATACCCGTTGAAGGTTTATAAACTTTAAGCTTGTATTCTTTGCAAATCCAGTCATATAATATACAAAAACAGAAGGTTATATTTATTGAATTATATTATCACCGCAGAGTAAATATTAAATATACCGTATATGAACATAATAATCTGTAATATAAGTATAGTGGAATATTAAATGTAACTTGACTAAAAACCTATTTTAAAAGGCGTTGGTCAGAAAATAAAAACACGAGTAAAAAACACAATTTCCTGCTAGTAAAGAATTTATAATTTTACTTGTATGAAGTTTTTAAATAATCTAGTCTGGGCGTTTGGAGAAACACTGTCTTTAAATTTAAATTTAAAATACACTAGGTGAAGACATTGAAGACCTTGTCAGTTATTGTGGCACGTCACAATTATTTTCCGTCATCGTCGTATGAGATCGAACTTGACACACATAAAAAACGTAATTTAATAATCGGAGGATATACATGCGCCAAATTCGCATGCATAATATAACTGCATACACCATTTCTCTTGTTTT